ACTGCAGATGGTGATTGCAGCCATGAAATTAAAAGACACTTGCTCCGTGGAAGAAAAGTTATGACCACCCTAGACAGCATATTAAAAAGCAGAGGCATTACTTTGCCAACAGAGGTCTGTCTAATTAAAGCTATGGTTTTTCCAGTAGTCATGTATGGATGTGAGAGTTGGACTATAAAGAAAGCTGAGCGCCAAAGAATTGATGCTTTTGAACTGTGGTGTTAGAGAAGACTCTTGAGAGTCCCTTGGACAGCACAGAGATCCAATCAGTCCATCCTAAAGGAGATCAGTCCTGAATATTCATTGGAAGGACTAATGCTGAAACTGAAACTCCAGTACTTTGGCTACCTGATGCGAAGAACTGACTCATTTGAAAAGACCCTACTGCTGGGAAGGATTGAAGGCAGGAGGAGAAGGGGACGACAGAGGATGAGATGATTGGATGGCATCACCGACTCTATGGACATGAGTTTGAGTGAACTCTCGGAGTTGGTGATGGACAAGGAGGTGTGGTGTGCTGCAGTCCATGGGGTCACAATGAGTTTTACACGACTGAGTGACTGAACTGAACTGAACTGAGCATTGTCCCACTTCAACTTTCAATAGGAATCCCTTTCCTGAAATCCCCAGTCTTTATGTCTTTTTTAATTTAGGTTTTAGAATTTGCCTCTCCCTTAAAAAAATTAAGTATGACTTGACATGGATTGCATTATATTTTGTCCTTAAAAACCAGTAATGATGCGGTCAGTGCCTTTTTGCACTGTGTAGTCTTGTGGTTGTGGGTCTTCCTTCCTCAACTGTGGAGATAGAGTGCCCTCTGGTGGATGTATCAGGTGATGTTTCTCTGTGACTTCACCTACCCCAAGTTTGGGAGAATCTAGCAAAGGTGGCTTGGAGAAGGAAATGGCAACCCACTCCGAGGTTCTTGCCTGGAGAATCCCAGGGACGGGGGAGCCTGGTGGGTGCCGTCTCTGGGGTCGCACAGAGTCGGACACGAATGAGGAGACGCAGCAGCAGCAGCAGCAGCAGTGGCTGCCCATCTCCTAGGAGTTTTTCCCCCGAAATCACACTGGTGAGCATTCAAATAGCACTGTCAGGCCATTACTGGTTTTCAAAACTGCATTAACTTAATTGAAGTAGACCCTTGAAGTACAGAATGTTGGAATGATGATTAGGATGTTTTCCTTATATAATTTCCTAGCTTTTGAGAGTATTTAACCCTATATTTTTATCTTAACTACTTTTATTACTTCAGCTGATACAGATAATTTATCGTCTGGCACTGTTGAAATTGTGGTTTTCTCTGTATTATATTTAATGTAGCATTTAAAATACATGTTACTATTGCTGATTTAATCTGTAACTAGTTCTCTGTTTGTGTGTGCTGTAACATATATCTTTTATTGACTTACTGATTGCAAAAGAAAGAGCAGGAATAAGCTTTCTCTTTCCATTAATTCCTTTGGATAGGTTACATCATATATTACAGCACCGATGTGAATGCAGAGATACACGACTGGGTTATTGAGCCTGTTGTGGGAAACAGGCTGACTCACCAGATACAAGAATTAACACTTGACACACCATACTACTTCAAAATCCAAGCCCGGAACTCAAAGGGCATGGGGCCCATGTCTGAAGCTGTCCAGTTCAGAACACCCAAAGGTAAAGGCCCCCAAACAGTGTTCCATTGTGTGTCTCCTGAGTGGGATTATGCGTGTACTTGTCACTTTAGCATGTAGAGACTGTGGATGATACAGGAAATCCTAATGATGTGGTTATGAGCCACAGTGTGGGCATTTATCTAAAAATGATGCTACCCCCAGACCACCAGATCAGTGCTCCCTAGGTTACTGACCTAAACATATCATTGACAGGGGAACTCTGACTCCAGGCTGCTCGAGGCAGATGAACTGCTGTGATCTAAACCAGTCAGATCAGATGGGATTCTCTTGGTTCCCAGATAGAGTAGTAGCGTGTTATTGTGATGGATGATTCTCTTTCAACACATGCAGGCTCTTAATGTGAAAGTCTTGTTCACTGACCTTTGTAGAGAGAAAGAGACAAAAGGGGCCCTCTAAAGAAGACTCTAGGTAAGAAAGTGACAGTAAAATATTGAACCAGGTGAGCTTAGGAAGTAAAAGTAAGTCGGGAGCTGAGTCTGTGGAAATATGGAAAAACATATATGGATTTCTTTTCTGTTAGCATGAAAAAGAAGACTCAAGGTGCTTGGAAGTTTTCGGGGTTTTAATTTTTTCCTTTAAGAATTCTGCCTGTCCCATCTTCAAAGCTTGTGATCCTTGCTCTTGTTTTTTCCTTCCCTTGTGCTTGGCCTGCTAGCGGACTCCTCTGATAAAATGGCTAATGATCAAGGTAAATGAGTAGCTGGCCTCTCTTTCCTTTCCTCTCTTTTGTGACCTGTTACTAGCTTTTTGTTGTTTTTGTTTTTTCCTGAAAATCAGTATCAGTACTGTGTGTTAAAAGTCACATATTTATTGGCCAAAGTAGAGTTGAGTCCATATTTGTGGCACTTGGGGTATCTGAAAAGCTGGAGAATCTACTTAGGAGCTAAACAGACTGGCAGGGAAAAAAACTGGGTTGGACTTCTACAGATGTGAGGAGATAGTCCTTAAATGTGAGTCAGAGTATCCTTGGTGCTAAGATACTAAAATTCTGTGATACAGATAGGGATTTGGGCCATAATGAGAACAAGCACACCAGTTTGTCATATTTGTAGCATCTAGAGTTTTATTGATGTCTCTAAATGAAAAGTTTAATCAAATTCAATTGAATACCCTTTTTTCCTCCCTCAACAGAGAATATACAAATGTACCCTCCTGAATTGTATGATTATCTTTCACAAAATTACGGCTCTCCATTCTCTTGTTGCAGGCTTAATTCAGGGCTCTTTTACCACTTCTTAAATATATTTGTTAATTTTATAAGAGGATAGAGACAGTGTACAATGGAAGTTTAGGAAGTATGGGCCTCAGTGTCACCATTCTGGAAATTATCTGTCAGCATAGTCTCTTCACTGCAGTCGCTGTGGTGGAGAGTTAAACTATACTTTGTGATTTTCATCTCTGGGAAGTCAGCTAAAGTTGGTTATCTGTTTTCTATAGCAGGAGCAGTTAAAGTAAATTGGATGGTTTCTTTTATTCTTTAAGAGTAGTTTTTAGAAATACAAAGTCTTTGGATCTTGGTTAATGGCAAGGAAGATTCAGAGTTTGAGGTTTCAAGTTTTGGGGATTTGGAAATGTGTTTGCATTCAATGAGTCTTTTGTTCTATGTTGGGAAAACTGCAAACATGCCCGTGTGTGTGTGTGTGTGTGTGTGTGTGTGTGTGTGTGTGTAAAGCACCCTGATCATGGTAGAACCTTTGCCTTAAGCATGAGAATAGAACAGTAACAACACTGACTGTGTACAGAGTATATATGTGCTATTTTCTTCCCTCACTTCACCCCATGAGCCAGGCTGCAGTTCTCAGCTATACCACCCCTTTGGTATTTACAATTCTTTGCCCATATTTATTTTGGTATTTGGCTAATCCTTGGATTTCTTGTTCGTAAGTTAAATGTAAGAGGAAAACATTAAACATGGGAGGAAAACATAGGAGTTAAGCCAGTTGGTTTGTTGGCAAAGTGTTCATTGGTAATTATTTATATAATGTGTTACTCTGAGTAGTTTGGCTTAAATTTGGGCTGCCTGACAAAGACGTACCTTAACTATGAAGAGCCTTACATGGGTCGTGTCATCTCTGCCAGCTTATCATAGTGAAAAGAACAGGTGGAATCTTGACACGTGGTGTGTACTGTTTGGGAGGATTGGTGACAGTGGAAGTGAAGTTAAGTGATAGGTGCGGACAGTGACAAAGGTTTGAGGACTGTGAGTTAAAAATTCTAGACTACGCCCCTTACATACCCAGGAATTTCTGTTACCTTTGGGGACTTTGAGCTTCTGGAAACCTAGAAAGTAGATTTGTTTTTTTCATTTCTAGATTTATTCTGTTAAATGAACTATACATAGAAACCTTCAGACTTTAATTTCTTCCATTTCCTCCAAGGCTGATAATTTAAAAGAAGTACTTGATATTATCTATAATGTTTTACAGCAACACATCTTGTTTATGCATTTCTAGTCAAGCTTTATTCATAGAAATAACTCTTAATTTATAAGCATTTCCTGAAGCTTCATGCTCTCTGCGGAGTGTAAGATGAGATTCTTCCCCAAAGATTTATTTAGTAGTTAATATTTATAAAACATTTACTTTGTGTCAGGCATTATTCAAAACATTTTATGAGATTAAATTTCTAATTAATCCTCACAACCCTTTCGTGAAGCAGGTGCCATTATGATCCCTGCTTTACAATGAGGAAACCAAGACCCCAAAATAGTAGCTAAATAACTTGCCCAAAGTCCAACATTTAGTGCCTGATGGTGCTGGTCTGCCAGCACAAGCAGTCTGTTGAGCTGGGTGAACCAAGGATCAGCTTTCCCTACAGTTCCTGCAGACCTCTTCAAGAGAAGTCTGAGACTGCCTTCCAGGCCCAGGTGTTTTCTGAGGCCTGCATATGAGTGAAGTCGCTCAGTCATGTCCGATTCTTTGCAACCCCACGGACTGTAGCCTACCAGGTTCCTCCTTCTGTGGGATTTTCCAGGCAAAAATACTGGAGTGGGTTGCCATTTCCTTCTCCAGGAGATCTTCCCAACTCAGGGATTGAACCAGGTCTCCCGCATTGTAGGCAGACGCTTTCCCATCTGAGCCACCAGGGAAGTTGAGCGTATGAGGTGGTCCCAAGCTCAAGGTCAGCAGCCTCACTTCTTATGTTCCATGATGACGGAGTAGGAGACAGTGTCTTTGTGAGCAACCAGAGGGGAGACTTTGGTTTTTTAATCTCTGGGTGTTTAGGTTGACTGAGCAGAAACTGAGAACCTAATCTGAACCTCTGCTTGCCTTCCTGCTCCCTCTTAAGGTAACTCTATATTTAGAAAGGCAGCTTCCTATTTTGAGAAAAGAATCCAAACACTACTGACACCTGCTCAGCCAGATCAAGCCAGTCCCTCGGAAGAACCCGTTTCTTTAATGGTCCCCTCGGTTCGTTTTCCACCAGAAGCTGCTTTTGCCCTAAGTGCTCTGAGCAGTTTTTCAGCAACTGTTTCTTGGGCTAGAGAAACCTTAACAGCAAGGGACAGCCTTGTTATACCCTGGATACAGCCATGGAACAGGAGTGTCAGCCTTTCAGATGCCTCATTGCATAGAAAGCTCTACCTTAGTTTGTTTTGCATAAATAGGCTGCATTTTCCCCTGTTGTGTGTACGTGCTACTTCCTTTTCTTATGGACAGCGTAGACTGAAAATACATTTTTTTTTTTTTTGTAGAAAAAACTCACAACATAAATAGGCTGCATTTTCCCCTGTTGTGTGTACGTGCTACTTCCTTTTCTTATGGACAGCGTAGACTGAAAATACATTTTTTTTTTTTTTTTTGATAGAAAACACTCACTAGCTGTGAAGTAGACTGGTCACACCAATGGAGTGGGTTGTTACTGACATGATTTCTTCTTCTTCAGCCTCGGGGTCTGCAGGGAAAGGAAGCCGGCTGCCAGACCTGGGATCCGACTACAAACCTCCAATGAGCGGTAAAGCCCTTCCTCTGGCTTTATTTGGCTTCCTGTGGGCACAGTGCAGTTCTGCTTGAAATCTTGAAATGTTTCTTGCAGCTCCTGTGCTGTGAATTATAGCCTATTACCTATTTCTTTTTATTCGATAGAGCTGGCTTTAGACATTTTCTGGCAAATGTTTGCCAAATTACTGTAGACCCATTTATTATAGATTCACAAATAAAATTGTTTCCCTGCGTATAAACTTAAAATGATTCTAAACAAACAGTCTTCTCATTGCCCACTGCCTATTTTCAAAATAATTAGAACCTTACTTTAAAAAATAAACCCTCTGGTGGAATTAGCTATCATCTAAAACGAGCCTGAGAGATGCTTTGGAATCATTCATTTCTCTCCACACTGTTTACTGCGGTGCTCTTAGTTTGGGAATTCTAAAAAATTATATTCCCTCTCTCCTAGCCATCCTAAGAGCTGGTGCCTTCTAATTACTTAAATGGTGACACCTGCTTCTCTATACAACGTCACCATATGGAAGTTACTTTCGCACGTGAAATCATTTTATTGTGATAACATTGTGAGGGAGGGAGAACAGGTATCATTATTCCCATGTTTTACATTAAGAGACTCAGGGGAGAAGTAATGTGCCTGGACCTATCCACTTATTATAGAAGCCCTAGAATCAAAACCCGGGGCTTCCAACTTCATATTGTGCCTTTTCTGCTGTCACTCACAGCCTTCCTAGATCAGATGTGGGAATCCAGGATGGTAAAATGTCCGCAAAGGTAGTTCCTAGAAGTGAACCATACTGTCTCCTCATGAGAAACACATGGAAGAGAAAAGAAAAAGAGTTTCTAGTCCTCCAGAAACTCCTGGTCTAATTATGGAAATAAAATGGTCTCTTAATCTCCAGCTATCAATTTAAATAAAAAGTATTGCCCAGACTTCAGTGAAATCGGCCACTTCTTTGGAGAGCCAGACAAACTTGCTTGCTTCAAGAAATTTTTAGGCTGTGATTTCTAGGACTTTATGAGTTTCTCCTCCTGGAAGGCATATGTTACATTTATGTGCTGTCCACCGGACTGTGAGAAAAGCAGTTACTTCTTTGTCTTTTCTTTTGTTTATGCATTCATTCATTTATTCACACATATTTCTAAAGGTTTAGGTGCTATGTAACAGACTGTAGAAGCAGGGGGAGTATGTAACAAGCTATCTGACAGAGAGAAGAGAAAGCTTTCTAGAAGACATCTCTGACCCAGATTTTAAAAGGCATAGAGAAAATTACTGAATGTCTAGGAGGGGGTCAAACATTTCTAGGATGCAGTGCAATAAGAACATGTATGAAGCATGGCAATTTAAAACAGCCTGCTTGGAACTTCCTTGGCAGTCCAGTGGTTAAGACTGCACCTTCCAATGCAGGGATGCAGTTTTGATTCCTGGTCAGGGAACTAAGATCCCACATTCCTCACAACCAAAAAAAAAAAAAAACAAAAAAACACCAAAGCATGAAACAGAAACAGTGTTGTAACAAGTTCAATAAAGACTTTAAAAATGGTACAAATTAAAAAAACAAAAACACACTTTAAAACAGCCTGCTTTCTCCAGGGACCACACTGCCAAGAAACAGAATAGGCTCAGGTTAGAAAAGGTAGGTTAAAAAAAAAAAAAGGTAGGTTAAAACCGACCTGTCAAAAGCTCAGGTGCTGATGCTAAGAAATGTGAGCTTCCTCATGTAAGTAACATATGTGAGATGTCTGATACTACTGGTAAACGGTGACTTCCCACATACTGAGTATCTGCTGTTACCCTGATGACAGTGGAGAATGAGTTGGGTGCCAAGAGTAGAAAGTCAAAAAAGAGTGGTTAGGAAGCTGCTGCAATAGCCCAAGTGAGGCTTAATATCCCTAGGAGGAAGGTCTAGGGTCCCATTTGCAGCTCACTCTTACTCTAGTTCCGAAGACAGCCTTTGGCCGACTCAGAAGGTAGAGGTCCTTTGTAGTTAATTGAGAATTTGTCTCTGTGGAATGCAGGAAAGAACTGCCTCCCACAGCCCTGCTCCCTGCCTCTGATGCACAGCGCCTGCTCTACCGCTTGCCCCACCCACTAGCTCAGTACTACTGTTAATAATGGTTTTATGGAGATCCCTAATTTGGTCTCATTGTATTGGCTCCCAGTTCCATAGTCTTTCCCAAATATAAAAATGTTATTTTATTGAAGGTCATTATATCCAGTTTAAGTTGTCTGTCTGCTGATCTCCTTCTCTGAAATAGATAGAAGTGATTCAACCAAATGTAGAAGAATAAGCTCTTAAACTTTCAAAATTAGCCCAGCTTCAGCACTGTGCTTGGATGTAGCCTATAAAATCATAGAATAAGAAGCAGAAGGTCAGCTAATCCACTGTTAATGGGAGTCCCACAGTAAATGTAGTTTGAATTAGATCATGAGTTTATAAACCAGGTTGTATATAAAAATCACTTTAGGAGCCTTCCTAAGAACATTGGTTCCCAGGCCACACGTTCCTGGTGGAAATTTCCACAGCATCCCAGACATGTAGGATGGCTCTTTATAAGTACTTCTGGTGACTAAACACTCATTACTTAGCAAAGCAGCTCATCCCGTTATTGTACAGCTTTGATTATTAGGGCAATAAGAGAGAGTGGCTGGAAGAAAAGATGGCAGATATCCATGGTGGTTAAATCTGTGTTGTAGGATTTCCCATATTTTACAGTATGAGCATGCATAACTTTTGTAATGAGGTGGGAAGCAAAGTACAATGTTTCAGGAAGTGGAAGAGCAAGACTAAGAATAGAGCAGGATTACAAACAGCCTTGTAAAAAAAAAAAAAGCTGAACCTCACCCAATGAGCATGGAGCAACAGTAATAGGAAGAAGATCTGTTTCCTCAAGGTCCTAAATGATCTCGCCTCTGCACATCTCTCCAGCCTCATATCCATCTTTTTTTCTGCTCACATCATTCCCTCTAACTTTGCATATCTCTCTTTGCTTCAGCAACACTGGCTGCCTTTATCTCCCTTGAACGTGCCGAGCTCATTCCTGTCTCAGGATCCTCCCACTAGCTGTTCCCCCTTCTCTGAAATGTTCTTCCTTCGGGTCTTTGTATGGTAGGATCATTCAAATCTCAGCCCAAATGCCATCTCCTCAGAGAAGCTTTTCCCAACCACTTAATATAAACTCGCCACCCAGTCCTTCTGTACCATATCCCCTCCTTTTATATTTTCATGGCACTTACTATAAACTAATAATTTATCTGTTTATTGTCTGCCCCCGCTCCTGTCCTAGCATCTGCACCTTTGTTGTTCACTGTTGCATCCTGGGTACCTAGAACAATACCTGGCACATTGTAACCACGCAGTAAATATTTGTCAGATTAATGCATATGTACAGACCTTTGTTTTCCTGAAACTGAATAAGAAAATTAACTCTGCACAGACTGTGTTTATAAAAACAGACTTTATGATTCAAGTAGTTTTTTGACCGCATCCCAATGCTATATGTTGGGGAAAAAAAACTTTCGTTTTCTATGAGTGTGCATTTTTTAAAAGTTTTGAAAGTCAGAAAACTTAAAGTGATTTACAAATGGTGCTTTATAAGATGAGTTTATATATAAGACACCAGGGGACAGACTCCCTTACTGGTCCAAGCTTAGTGTTCAGTACAATCGGAGAAACTTCTATTGAACACCAGCTTTGTGCCAGGTACACCCAGGGCAGAAACTCAGCTTCCATCATCTAGAGGAGACGGCTGTATCCATGAGGCATTTTTATAGAATGCACAGTGATGACCACTTTTATAAAGAAGCTCACAGAAGTTATCTATGCTCACGTGAAGGTTCTGCAGCCTGTTTGTATGCGCCTTCAGAATTCTGCCACACTAACAAGTGTACCATTTTCCCTTCCCAGGCAGTAACAGCCCTCATGGAAGCCCCACCTCTCCTCTAGACAGTAACATGCTGCTGGTCATCATCGTTTCCGTTGGCGTCATCACCATCGTGGTGGTCGTGATCATCGCTGTTTTCTGCACCCGGCGGACTACCTCTCACCAGAAAAAGTAAGGAGCCCCACGTGTAGCCCATACTTTTTTGTATGTATTCTTTGCTTCTGTGTGACCTCTGTGTCTGGAGTTGTACACAGAGTTAAAATATGAAATACATGAAAAGCAACGTTTTAAATATTTTTAAAGGAAATGCAGAATGATTCCTCTTGTTAAATATGTGTCCTTCTGGGTTCTGGCAGGGAAGCGGGGCGCTCTCAAGATGGGTGAAGGGGGCTTTAGTGAAGGGACCATTTACAGCATCCAGGGTGAAGTTAGCATTAGGCAGCAGTATTCAAGGGCCAGCCACAGTGACAGGCCAGTGTTATCCTTAGAAAGGTGAGAGCTTTTTTCTGAAGCAGAGAGAGCTGTTTTCAGAGATCTGAAGCAGCAGGAGAGGACTTGCAACAGGAACCATGTATGGTGGTAGGAATGTAACTACTGCCATCCTCTAGCCCAGCAGGGATGGGGCAGAAGAGAAAATACCTCCCACTCTCCAGTCTCTTGTCTGTGCCTTCTCCTGGCCACACTGAACTGGAAGCCAGGGCAGAGTTGCCAAGTAGATATAGTTCATTTAACTCAGCCTCTGAAGTCACAAGACCAAGTGCACAGAATCAATCTGGGAGAGGAAAGTAGATGATGTACAGCTTTGTCGGGAGCCCCTTTGGAGGACTGTCTGTCTCTGGGCTCTCAGTGAACCAGATACACAGGAGTCTGCGGAATTTCATGGCACAAATGCCAGCTGAGATGGAAGGATACCATAGACCTCTAGTTCTAAGTTTAAGAGTATTTTTAAAGATGTGCTCCCAAAGGCTCAGCTGGTAAAGAATCCACCTGCAATGCAGGACACGTGGGTTTGATCCCTGGGTTAGGAAGATTCCCTGGAGAAGGGAAGGGCTACCCACTCCAGTATTCTGGCCTGGAGAATTCCATGGACTATATAAGTCCATGGGGTCGCAAAGAGTCAGGCATGACTGAGTGACTTTCACTCACCAAAAGTAGCATTGAGGTTGGGACCACAGGAGGCAGAGTTGGTTGGAGGTGTGATGGGGAGATGTATTGATTAAATGAATGAGAAAGGATTATTTATAATCAGCATATCATATTAGCAGAGAGGTAAGGTGGCTTCTAGCCCTGAACTCACCTGGGATTTTGAGGCCTGTGGCTAATTGTTTAGAGCAGATAGCAAGGTGATCACCATTATGTGGTGCTTGATAACAGCCTTCACTCCTGAAGCTGAGGGAATCCTTGACCCTAGGTCACATTCTATTCCTATCTCTGGCCAGCAAGACTGTGCCATAAAGAAAAAAAAAAAAAAGGAGATTCTTGAGCAAAAACACAATATGGGTAATAGAATAACTTTAGATGCAGTATCCTAAAAGATCATAAGATGGAGGTATTGCTCCATAAAGAGAGAAAGAAATTCATGTCTGTGTGATTATGCTCACAACTGGTCTGCCCAAGGCAAGAATGCATGTATTTAATAACCATAAATCTGTTTGTTTTCAGTGTAGAGGTCAAGTACAAGCTACAGTCTAACTGCTGCTAGTAATGACTTTGTCATTTTCTATAGGTTATGTGATGTTTTTAATCTTTCTTTTGCCCAAGTAAAATAGCTTTCAGCAGTTTACATTGTCACTGCCTCTTGATCACTACCTCTTACAGCTTCCCCTGCCTTTGATTGTAGAAAACTGTTTTTCCCTAAAACCACTAAAATCGTATTTTTCTATGCTAGAACTTTTCTACAAGCTTCTTTTTCAGCATTTCCCTATCTATCTTTATGAACTTGATTTTACATCTAGTTTTCAATAAAGATCTTGAGATATTTACTAAAATACTTAGTCTTCAGATTAAGAGGCAGGAAAATTAGTTTGTCATAGGTTCTGTACTCTGTATTTGAATCTGCAGGTCCTACAGTTCGGGTCCCTTTGTTTAAAATAGAGTTGTATCAAGTCTTCATAGAGTTTCCCCCTCCTCCTCCCCCAGTGACCTACTTTCCAAATGTTCCATTGACTGTGGAAAAATATGTGAGCTTTTTTTAGTACTTTTCATCTTCTCTCATATCTGAAGCACCTCCCATTTCAATTGTAGCTGTTTATAGACTGTAGCCCCTCAGAGTTTCTTAGCACATCCCTCTAGAGCCCTGTTACTCAACAGATGAGAACCACCTACCTCAGTGTACCACCATTAGATCTAAAGCCCTTCCGTGTTGGGAAGAGTCATTTTCTCCCCCTTCCTCCCATCTGAAACCTCTTCTCAATTTACCTGCTGTATCCCAGTGCCTCCTGCTTTCAGAGACCTTGTCCTTGTGGTTGCCCCTCTGTCAGTACAGCTAACCTCTCCCTCCATTGGCTCCGTCCCTCTAGCATTCGACTGTGCTCAGACTTCTTCCATCCTAAGAAACAATTATAACCTTTCCTCTACTGCATGGTCCTTACCACCAACCACAAAGAAACCCTGTCGCTCCCTTCACCACAAGTTTCTTGAATACTTGTCTCCACTCACCTGTCCATTTTTTCGCTGCCCACTCATGCTTCAGTCCTTTCTAATCCAAATTCTGCCCCCACTGCTTCACCAAAGTTGCTTTTGCTGAGGTTACTACTGACCTCCATGTTGCAAAAGCCAAAGGAAATTTTTCAGTCCTCATCTTGATCTCTCAACACAGTCAACTACTCCTTCCTTCTTAAAACACTCTCTTCTCTTGTATTCCATGATTGTGTGTTCTTTTTCACAGCTTCTCCAGTCTACTCTGCCATCAGATAAACATTCCTCAGGGCCTGGTCCTGGAGTTACCTGCTCCTGTGGCTTCATTTACTTCTGAATTTCAACTACTCCCATATTTCTGTCTCTAGCCAAGGCTTCTCTCTTCTGAGTCTCAGGCTTGCTTCAGTCTCAAACCCAATTGCCTATTTTATGTTTTATAATGTCTCAGATGGACACTTAGTATGTTCAAAACAATTTATAATTCTTTCTGTCAAACCGACTTCTCCCCAGTGTTAGTAAATGGCTTAAGCCAGAGACCTTGGCAATATCCTTTATTCCTCATGTGTCTTTATTTCTGTCTTTTCCCACATCCATTTTTTTCACCAAGGCTTGTCATTTCTGGTTTATTAATAACCACCAGATCTCCCTCTCCCCTCCGTTCTCACTGCCCCAGGCCACTGTCAGTCAGGGTGCAGTTGTTGGCAGCTGCATCGTAACGGCCCCCTTGTTTTGTCCCCTACTCCTCAATCCATTCTTCACATCCCAGTTGGTTTAAACTTTTAACTCAAAACTGATCTCCTTACTCTCCTGCTTAAAGCCATTTAGGGGTTTCTCTTTACTCACAGAGGCAAGTTCAGACTCTGGTCTTGGCTCTAAAATTCCTTAATGATTTGACCCCAGCCCATCATGCCAGCATCATTTCATATCATTCTCCCCAGGGTAAAACTTCTTGCCTCTGTTTTTCTTGTTTGTAGTTTCTCATTTTGCCTGAAGCATCTCTCAGAAGGACTGTTTTAAACATTCAAACTGTTATTGACCAGTAATATTAACAGGTTACTTTTTAAAATCCTCTTAATTTCGTGCCTAGGAAACGAGCTGCTTGCAAATCAGTGAATGGCTCCCACAAGTATAAAGGGAACTCCAAAGATGTCAAACCCCCAGACCTCTGGATCCATCACGAGAGACTGGAGCTCAAACCCATCGATAAGTCTCCGGATCCAAACCCCATCATGACCGATACACCAATTCCTCGTAATTCTCAAGATATCACACCAGTTGACAATTCCATGGACAGCAATATCCATCAAAGGCGGAATTCATATAGAGGTACAGGTTTTTTCGTTTGAACCATTTTCTATTTTGTAAAGTTGCCTTAATTTGGTAATCCCTATAAGAAGTTAGGTTTAGAGAAACATGTGTTACTGCAGCAACTTCTGATGAAGACTAGCTAGCCTATAAAGAGACAGAGCTTCTGTACCCAGGTGAAACAGTCTTCTAGCTCTCTTAGGTCTCTCATCGCACTTCATCAGCTCAAGCTTTGAGACAGCCTAGCCCATGTCTGCACATTTCATCCCATCCCTTCACCTGGAGCCCAGCTCTCATTGTCATGTTTGGCATATTCTTGGTCTGCCTGCTCTTCCTCACAGACCTGCACTGAAACATGATAGGCAGCATCATGTCAACTGCATTGACTCAACAGAAATTCCTGTAATGTGATGATGGTCATTTTCCTCTTTATTTCACTTCCTGCAACACCTTGTCCCTACTGTGTTGTCTTTGAGTCCTGAATCTGCCTTCACTTGAAATGTTTTACTGCTGAGGCTGCTCACTGGCCTAGACACATGTTTGTAACCAACCTCCATATTTGATGTCTAGGGCATGAATCAGAGGACAGCATGTCTACACTGGCAGGAAGGCGGGGAATGAGACCAAAAATGATGATGCCCTTTGACTCCCAGCCACCCCAGCGTAAGTTAAAAGCTTCTCTTTTCCCAAGTGCTGCCAATTATCCAGTCATATTGGGGAACAGCTACAAATGATCTCTTTAACTTCACTTGATCCTAATGCAAAAATTAATCTACCAAAGCTTTGGCACCTTGAGAGAAGAAGAATCAAACATTTGCCATATTTTGTGATTAGTATTTATTCTTACTAGTAGCTTCTTTAATTTCAGTGCAAATAAACTACAAGGCCAATTTCCACAAATCCCCCAGGCATTAGGGAAGTAACCAGTCTCTTTAAAAGTAGATCAAGTCTCCTCAGGAGAGATGGGGGGGCAGCATCGCTCTAGGCTGGGGCTAAGGATGGCCAGATGTCACAGTGTTCCTTAGGCTTCCCGATACATGATCAGTGTTGATAGGCATTGCAGAGTTTTTTTTTTTAATCAATAGACTTTATATTTTAGAGGAGTTTCAGGTAGACAGCATGGAGTTTCTGTTTTTATAGCAATATTTTTCAACTTTATTTGACCTGTGCCTCACTTTGATAAGCATAAAAGTTGCCCAGCCTCCTGTAGTATTTGAAACTCAAGTATATTATCATGATTAAAAACCAAAATACAATGGGACAAGCAAATTACATTTGTACACTAGTGTTTCTTCTCCCTTGTTACTGTTTTCAAGGTGAGGAAGCCTTTCAGATGAACTGGCACAATGGGGCTTCCAGCGGAGGGTCCTCTGAGCCATTCTAAAGAGATAAGCAGCCACCTGCCTACCAGTACCAAATCCAAGTTTAAGAAACTATTTAATCTTGAAATTTGCTCTGGGCTGAATAGTAGGTTAGCAGACATTAATACTGTCAGTCATTGTGTTAGTTGCTCAGTTGTGTCCTACTCTCTGCAATCCCACAGACTGTAGCCCACCAGGCTTCTCTGTCCATGGGATTCTCCAGGCAAGAATACTGGAGTGGATTGCCATTCCCTTCTCCAGAGGACCTTCCTGACCAGGGATTGAACCCTGGTCTCCTGCATTGCAGGCAGATTCTTTACCATTTGAGTGTCAGACCTAGATTTAAATCCTGAAGAATCACTTTTCAATTTAGCCTAAATGAGCTTTGGGATTTTTTTGTTCATTTCTTAAAAGATGCCCCATTTCAGGACTGTCAGCCATGTCTGTCCACAAGTGACAGAGATTCTAAATAATCACAGATATCCTAACACAGATGGCACTGTATACATGGAAACCAGTGGGATCCCTGAGAGTGTCATGTGCTGTCACTCGCACACGATTCTGAGAATCCACTTTGGAAGAATAAAAGACTGATTTACTAAAAGTTCATTTCTGCACAAAGTACTTTTTGCGTAGGGTCCATGATAAGAAGAGGGGCCTATACTTGGACGTGTGCAAGGAAAACTGGTTTTCCTCTCATCAGACATGCCCTGGACAAGGTACCCAGGTTTAGAAATGTCCAAAAAGAGTGAAGGTGTTAGTCACTCAGTCGTGTACGACTTTTTGCGACCCCATGGACTCTACTGTCCATGGGATTTTCTAGGCAAGAATACTGGAGTGGTTAGCCATTTCCTTCTCCAGGGGATCTTCCCAACCCAGGGATCGAACCCGGGTCACCCACATTGCAGGCAGATTCTTTACTATCTGAGCCACCAGGGAAACCTCCAAAAAGAGTAGATTAGTTCATTCCAGTTACTTTTGATTTATAAGAAAATAGTAGCTTGACTACTTGATTGTTTTATATAAGGCTTTAGTTCTTGCCTGAACTTGCTTATTTTTAAAACTTGTAAAGTTTGACTATCGCTGTTCCTAGATTTGTTACTTTTAAATATGTTACAGAGAAAAGATAAGCTGTACTAGTTGACAGCATTCCTGTTTTTTTTTTTCTTTTCTTTTCTTTTTTATTTTTTTGGTTTCTGGAAGGAGTATGTATAAATATACAGTGTTATTTCATTTGTGCCCCAGCAGCTGAGTGAGTGGATTCTTTAATTCAAGAATCTGATACAAGTGCCCAGATATACTTGAGATCAGGCTTGAGATTGGAGGCTGCATCCCCCATCCACCTACCATGGCTGTAAATGTCTGAGCACTGCTGGGAATGGCTTAGTGGTGGTGGGATGAGGTCCCATCGAAGGCCTTGCACAGAAGCAGTGGATTCTGATTCAACTAATAGCTGATGCTTGCCAACTATATTCCAGACAGGCACTGTCATATTCTTTTATTTTTTTGTTTACTTAATTTGGAAAAACTGACAAAGTTTTTTTTTTTTTTAATCAGCTTTGTTTTACTTTTGTGAGAGTCTCTATACCTAAAGCACTTTCAAGTTGCACTTCCTGGGTAAAAGTCAGGAGTCTTTCCCCCTCACCCTAGCCTTAATTGTGAGAAACACTGATTCTGAAACACCCCACTTCTGAAAACTTCCTGTCTTCGCATGGAGGAGATGCTAACTGCCCAGCTGCCCTGAGGCCTCTCCTCAGCCAGCTTTACCATGTTGTATTTTATTCCCGGGGACTGCCTTCACTTTCAGGTCCCTGAGTTAGTTTCCCGGGCCTTGAGGAGGGGAGGGGGTGGTCCTGCTCCAGGGTCCCTGGCTGGTTGTGCCACCTGCTTGCTTGCACGTGGTGAGGAGAATGCTGCCGAACAAAGGACCTCTATTGTATTGCCTGGGATTTTCTTCACCTGAGTAGTGTTGAGTTCCGCCAAAGATCAGGGAGACTCTTGGTGACCTGACATTTTAATAGAATCCAAGGAGGGCTAATTGAGTTTTATCACAAAGTTTTTGAAGTCCTTGCTTAAAGGGAAGTGGGGGGTGGGCAGGAAAGACCCCACTTGTTTCTGATCAGCCCTACCTGTTTGCCTATTTCGGGAATCTAGAGCTGGTTATCTTGATGGCGGGCTATAGTCCATGAAGTCCCAAGAGTCAGATATAACTTAGCAATCACACCACCACCACCACCATCTTGGTGTTAAGCTTTCTGCTTCCACAGCTACTCTAAGGGAATACCTAAGAAAAGTTTGTACCTCAGCTGTGCTTCTGACTTTGTTTTTCCATCTCTAGGATCGATAAGGGCGCTCATTAAAGAAGCACTTTGTCTTCATAGAAAGTTTTATGTGGAATATCTGTGTGAAAATGTGGATTCATTTGCTAAATGCAGCAAATTGAATTCCTTAGCCAGTGTGGGAAGGAAAGAGGGAATTTAGAAAAAATCCATTTATACTTTAAAATGTGAGTAGATGTGGCTAAGGTCCCAGACTGGAAGCAGGACGAGATGGTGCCCTAGGCCTGTCTTTCATGCTTCTAGTACTAGATTGGACCTTAACCGTTCATTTCCATTTGCATTCCGTTTACGATATGAAAACTGATTAAACAGCCACTTATTCATTCAGCCTAAATACCTATTTCATGCTTCACTCAGCAAGTAAGAAGAGACAGAATGAATTAGGAATATACTCAAAGGAAAAGGGACTTCTATCTTTATAAGCAGGAGAAAAAAATTATAGATACCGAAACCATCATTTGTTGGCTTATGGGTTTATACTTTGTGACATATTCAAGTAGGTATTTTTAATAACTCATGTAATCCATGTTTACTGTAGAATTGGAAGATAAAGATAAACCAAAAGAAATTTTTAAAAAAAATCTTCACCACTCTTCCCTACAAGATAATGTGTTAACATTTTAGTAAAAATTCTCAGGCTTTTTTCTTTCTGTGTATATATAGAGACATATGCATAAGAGTGTGTTGATTTTTTTTTAAGACAAATGTAGAACCCATGGCTAATTGTCCAAACCCGTGGCTAATTGCCTAAGCTGCCACCAGAAAACCAGGGAATGGTGGTACTGCATGGGCGGGGGGTGCGGGGTAACTGCTCTTGAACTGTGATGTATGTGTGTCTGTGCAAGCATGTTAAGCATTTCTCTGTCTTGTGTTCATTCACAGCTGTGATTAGTGCCCATCCCATCCATTCCCTCGATAACCCTCACCATCATTTCCACTCCAGCAGCCTCGCTTCTCCAGCTCGCAGTCATCTCTACCACCCGGGCAGCCCATGGCCCATTGGCACATCCATGTCCCTTTCAGACAGGGCCAATTCCACAGGTGAGAGATGAGGATGGAGCCCCAGGTTGAAAGCATTCTGAAAGAGTTGGCAAGCTGCACAGGGGAGGACCTGCCCCACTTAGAAGGATTTGGAGTTTTTGTCAGTGTTATCTGTCTATCGTAACAATTTCTGTTACTGACTCAAGTTTTTTCCTATAAAATTCACTTCATTTTTCTCCCAGAGTTTTAAGAGCTCAAGGCAACGTGTCATTTTAGTAAGAAATATAATGCTAATCACACAGCCATGTCTTGTTCCATCAACTTGCATCTTAATTCCATCATATTTTCAGTTTGTTTAATCCTTCAATTTGAAAGGAAAATGTAATCTGGATGATTTTTAGACACTAGAGGTTGCCTTTACCTAATGATGGGAGGGTTCTTAGGGCAACCGTAAGGTACTTCTGATGTGAGCTCTTGATTACATGTATCTGCTGTGAACCAAAGTAAGGGCAACACACCTGGGGGCAGCAGGGCCAGCGGCCACGCTGAAGTTACGCAGATTGTAAACCTCAGGTTGCCTAGTGGAGCGAAATTAAAAAGGGCTCCCAAGCATAGATTATCTTTAAAAATAGATGGGACATTAGCCTAACAATCTGCAGGGTATGTAAAGATACACAGTTCTAGACCACCATGTCTCAGTTTGAAAATCTTAAGAAGCAGCTTCGTCAGTTTTAAGGTGCTAAAAAAACAACTTCTCATATATACAGTATACTCTTTTTCCATCATTTGAAACTTGTCTTTTAATAGATGCAGATGTTACTAGTAGAGCTGAGTTTTGGTTGTTCTAGAAAATAAGGGAGTTTCACGTGAATCCCGTTTTTAAAAGAACTTTAAAACTTCATGCTTAGAAGCTTGGATTGCCAGTAACATCCCTTCCTCCTTTGAGTTTTGGTCAATTATAAACAAAGCATCAATGGAGATCCAAGCTTACTAAGACATGCCTGATAACTCCCGAAGTTATCTGCTCCCAAACCCTTACTTTGTTTGGAGAATGCTGCTTGAACTCATCTCTGTAATTTGCCTTTCCCTCCCGTCAGTCCAGGTGTGGGTTCTTGCCTTTAGGGAAAGACAGCCTGCAGGAGGCTGTATGGAGAACCAGACTCTGCCTCACAGATGTAATCTCAGAGCAGACCAGAAACAGCCCTCCAGACCTGCTCTTAGAAAGAGGCTTTTGTGTCCTGACTGTATTTCTCCATCTTTAAGGCAGAAAAGTCTCACCCACTGGGATAGGAGCATGCCTAACTGTGTGGCAGGGTCTTCCCAGGGAGTCAGCCCCCTGTCTCCTCCCTCCTGGACAAAAAGAAGGTTGAAGTTTGGCAGGAAGCATAGAGCTCCCACCCACCCCTCACCCAAGGGATCAGTGTTGATACAAGTTTGGTTCTGTATGTATTTAGGCAGAAAGCAAAAAGAGGAGAAAGTAATGATTTCCTCCGCTAAAGGGTGCCTTGTTTTAATGACCAGAGGGGTTAAAAGAAGGTAAAACTCCTAATGGAGCCTTTGAAAATGGATTTGAAATGTAGAGCAGATGTTTAGTGATCAGAGCTCTACTACTATTGTATTTCCCTGTCTCTCTGGACCCCAGTGTTGCCACAGCCCATCTTGGGCCGGGTGATCCTTGCCTAGAGGGCATTTTCTGTCTTTTCCTTGGATATTTACTTTTGTCATTACCACCTGATGCAGAAAACACACTTTCACTTGTCCAGTCTTAGACAACTCTGAGAGATCTGTCAGGAGGTAGAAATTCTAGTTACAGTGAGCAGGGGCTGTTGCAGTTTCAGGGCGCACCCTTTGCAGAGAATACAGTGTACCATGCCCTCTGGAGTTGCACTGCGCTCTGCTGCACGTAGGCAGGCCTCTTCTCCTTTTTCACCTTTCCCACCATCTCTGGCCCTCAGAAGCTTATACATCAAAGTAAGGCAGTCGAGGCAGCCATGGTGTGGCTGTGTGCCTGAGCTGTCCTAACATAGCTACCAGTACATGGTCAGGGCAAGAGCCTCATCCTTTCTCTCTCCTCATCCTTGTTACCCTTGTTAATCAGCTTCCACCCAGCCCAGGATCACACAGAGTGGGACCAGCAGCTCCCCAGGTGAGGTGATAGCTGACCTGAGGAGGCAAGAGAAATGAGACCCTCAGCACAGCCCTGGAAAGGATGAGAAGTGACCGAGGCCTGGGAGGTTAAGATAGCCAGGCTTTCGCCACTCGGCGAAGGTGTATGAGTCCCTTATTGCTGGATCCCAGGGCCAGACCTTTGAGCAGCACTCTTGACTGCCATGGCCCATCTCCCGAGAGCCCAAGGGAACAGATTCATGGCTGCCTCAGCAACAAAGGCTGGGAGAGGTTGAATTTCAGCAGGTTGCTCGTGGATTACTACTTAAAAGGGTTAATTTTCCTTGATAAGGTTGAGGAATCTAGGAGTCAAAGAAGGTCTTCCTTCAGGCTGCCTGGTGTCCTCCAGGCCCCTCCTCAGGGTGGGGATGGTGGTCTGCACCAGCTCACACTGTGTGAAAAGACTCATATGGTCGCCCTGGGAATTGGTGCTGCTTCTGCCCCTGCAGCATTGAGGGACATGTGGACTGGGCTTGGAAGAGCAGGTAGTGTTCAGTGGATGGAGCCTGGGTTTAGGACTCAGGGGCCAGGATTCAGAATTCTGCCCATCAGTTCTGTGTCCTTAGGCCATTCTTAAGCTCCCAGCATCTGATGTGTTACTGTGAGGATTGAATGAGCTAATGAGTATAAAGCACTTAAGCACCTGATAATCTACAAAGAAAAAAACCTTTATCAATCATTCAAGCCCTGTGTTCAGCACTTTTTATTCATCTTCCTAATTAATCCTCAGTAAATTATGTGTTAGGGTTAGCGTTATTCTCCCTATTTTTATAAGTGAAGAAACAGATTTGGTTACTGCCAAGTTCACTCAGCTCATAGGAAGAGAATAGGATTCAGGTCTATCTGACTCCAGAGCCAGTGCTTTTTCTACCCCACCATGCTGCCTTCCAGAACAACTCTGATGCCTTGTCACTTATTTTGAGATTTTTGTCATGTTTTTCCTGAGCTGCCCCTTCTTCAGGCTGATATACCCCTCTTTTTCTCTCTGGACGCCCAAACACCTCATGGCATTATCTTAAAGCCACTGGCAGACCTTTGGACTTTTCGGCTGTCCAGGCCTCACTTGAGCTGTGGGGCTCTGGCTCTGGGGAGGCTGTGCCAGAGGGGGTGCAGGCCTGTGGCACGGCCTCTCCTGCAGGGACCACTAGGCCTCAGGGCAGAGCTGCTCCTCATCAAGTACCCAGATGGCCTTGGTGATGTGTTGTCTGTGAAAGGCTAGTCTCGGAAGCTGTCAGTCAGTGAATAAAATTGTAAATTTTCTTACTTACATCTTAACAGACACCATATCAGGAACCTTTATGTGTGCTCCATAGTGAGTACTGAGAAGAGCTTTAAATCTGTAAAATTGTGACCACTTAGTTGTGTAGGTGAAAAAAGTCCAGCATCTGGTTGACAAATTCTGGGGGGACTCTGAAATTAGACCATTCTTATTTAGCCTTGGCAGGGATGCCAATCTGTGTTCCCTTGAACTAGCATTGACCCGAAGTGCTCATTGAGCCAGTTTCAGGGGCCCTTAGAGGTAGGCAGCGAGAACCCCAGAATGTGCATATGTTCAGTGGTAAAATAAATGCTAACATTTAGACTTTCCTGCTGTAGAATCTGTTCGAAACACCCCAAGCACTGACACCATGCCAGCCTCCTCGTCTCAAACATGCTGTACTGATCACCAGGATCCTGAAGGTGCTACCAGCTCCTCTTACTTGGCCAGCTCCCAAGAGGAAGATTCAGGCCAGAGTCTCCCTACAGCCCATGTTCGCCCTTCCCACCCACTGAAGAGCTTTGCTGTGCCCGCGATCCCACCCCCCGGGCCTCCCACCTACGATCCAGCGTTGCCAAGCACACCGTTACTCTCCCAGCAAGGTGAGCAAGGAAAGCAGCACCGCTGGAGGGGCCCTGTGGCTCTGGCTCTAGACAGCAGTCGCCACTTCTTTGCAGAATAACAAAGCTAATGTCCTCCAAGCTGATCCTTATCCTCTCAGGGAGGATATGGGCTCCTCCTTCGGGAACATACATAAACAAGAGAATAATTTGGCAGGGAGCAAAGGCTGACTTTCTGAAGTATGTTTTGTGTGCAGGACGCTTGGTGGTAGAATCCAGTGGTGTGAGTATGAACAACAGATCTGGGCCTCCCAGAACTGCCTCACTCCATAGGATTCCTGCCAACTGGAGAAGGATTAGGGAGTCCAAAACTTGGAAGCAAGGGAAAAACCAAGGTTGCAGAAATAACCCTGCAGAAGGGTTGTTAACTCTTCGAGTTCACACAGCTCAACAAAGGTCCTCTCACCTCAAAGGCATGCTTTTTTACCTCCTACTGTTTCACATAAATTTCTCTCTTATGATGGTTTCTTTCAGAATAAGTCACTGGTTGTTAAGCTTTTGGTCTCAGGACCCTTTTTAACTCTTAAAAGCTGTTGAAGCTGCAAAAGAGCTTTTTCTTCACATGAGTTATACCTGTCATTATTCACTATATTAGAAATCAAAACAGATTTTAAAACTATTTTATTCATATAAAAATAGCAATAAATCTGTCATGTTAAGGGAAATAACATATTTTCATGAGAAATAACTTTCAAAATAAAAATACAGTGAGAAGAGTAGCAGTCTTAGACTTTTGCAGCTCTTCTTTAATTTCTGGCTTAATAGAAGACAGCCAGATTCTCATACCTGCTTCTGCATTTAATCTGTTGCAGTGTATTGCTTTTGTCGAAGAAAATCTGGCCTCACAGATACGTAGTTGGAAAGGAAAGATTATTTATATAAACTCAGACTGCTGTGGGTATTCTTCTTTGACACTGCAGCAAAACTCAGCAGACTGTGATTTCTTAGATATTTGTTTGTCATGTGGAATTCAAAAGCATATAATTATTCATACTCTGTCCTGTTAAATCCATCTATACTGCACTTTGAATGCATGATACTAAACACCACATGTTGGTCATTTGGAAAGTATTGGTTCACTAAGTTACATAGATCCTCCAAATCTTGATACATTTTGTTAAATAGTATGTAAAAATACATTCATTAATATCATCAAAGTCTGTAAGTATTGGGAAGCCCTCAAGCTCATGGTTGCAGATACAAGTTTTTCAAAATTCTGATTTTTCATTTTAAACTTAAATTTTATCATTGGAAATAAATGCTGTCCATTGTCTTCCCTAAAGTGACTGACAGACTTCATTCACTGTCTAGAAAATGTCTGCCAAATGCTCAAGTCTAAATAACCTGTGTGTCAGTCTTTCTTTGAACTATTAATAACATTGTTGTTTTGTAATGAAAGCAACAGTTCAACTCACAGCTCAATTACAAGTGTTTTTATTGAAGACAGCCATCATGCTTTGGTGTGCAGTAGTATTTTATCCGTATTTCCATTTTAGAATATTTAAAAGATGTGTAATCAACTTCATAACATAACTTTTTCTACATTAATTACACTGGCTCTTTTTTAAACTTGGCAAGTGTGCATGTTCATGAATGACTTTACAGCGTGGTGCCAATACCTAATTTGTGCTGAGGCCCCAGCATTTTTTTCCCACTATTGCTTTTGTACCATCAGTGGAAGGGCAAATGTGTCTTGGTTTTATTGTGAAGAGTTTTGACTCCCAGACATTCTGTCAGGGGCCCTGGACCCCTCCACTGTGAGAACCACTGGTCTGAGAGATGAGTTTTTAAAGCCGAGCGGACCGTCTGCTCTGGCCTCTTGGATGCCCTGCGCTCTCCCTCCTTCCATCCTGTTCCGTCCCTTTTCAGAGCAGCAGCTCTGTGCTGGGTGTGTGTGCACCCCTCACCCTGAGCAGCGTCTGGACCTCACGTACCTTTGTGAGGATCAGGGCAGCAGGCTCAGACACACCCCTGATGGTGCCGCCTTTCCCCCGCAGCTCTGAATCATCACATTCACACAGTGAAGACGGCCTCCATCGGGACTTTAGGAAGGAGCCGGCCTCCTATGCCAGTGGTGGTTCCCAGTGCCCCTGAAGTGCAGGAGACCACAAGGATGCTGGAAGACTCCGAGAGCGTGAGTCCCCGGGCTGGCCCGGGGCGCGGGCCGGCTCGCTCATTCCGCCGGCGGGCGCTCGGTGCTCCCCGAGCCTGGGCTCTGCTGCAGGCTCCATCCGCGTGGATTGGCTTGTCACACTGGCCTTCCTTTCAGCTCTGGCCTGTCTCTCTGACCCTCTTGTCTTGGTCTGAACTGTCCACATGTTCTTTCACCCCCAGCCCCTGTTCGTGATCTTCCCTGAGCAGGATGCTGTAGAGGAAGTTGCCTGAGCGATTGCTCTCAAAATAAAGTCGGCAGAGTCTCTCCTTGATCTTTCACTCCCGCATTCCAGTAGATATGCTCGACCTCTGCCTTTCCTGGCACAGGACTCTCTTAGGAGGAGAGCTTGGGGCCCAGAGATCCAGGGGTTATACCAGCAGTGTTGACTCTGACAGAGACTAAAGGGGGCAAGCGGTGGGGCCTGTGAGGTCCTTGTGACCCTGGCAGCACAAGTTGGAGGAAAGGCATTTTGTGATGGAAAGAAATGAGTGGTTGCTGGCTTGGGCCCATCCTGAAGCCTCTGACTCTGCCGGGCTGGCAGGGATGTGGGTAGTCCAGTCTGTCCAGCATTTTTCTCAGTCATCCCTCAACATGGTGACCTCTTTCCATGGGCCCTACTTCTGGACAGCTGTTTGGAGCATGCCTGGTAACACTGTTCTCTTTTCCGTAGAGCTATGAGCCAGATGAGCTGACCAAAGAGATGGCCCACCTGGAAGGACTGATGAAGGACCTAAATGCCATCACGACAGCGTGACCACCTTGACCGGGACGTGACTCCCGGCCCAAGTCTAGAAGTCTTGGGACTTAGCCTTGAAATCAAGGAGTTGTACAGAGCACCAGAGGACAGCACTTGAGAACACAGAGTGAGCAGGCCGCCCGGCCAGCGCCCCCGCGTGGGGCCGGCTCCAGGCCTGGCCACCTGCCTTCTCCCAGTCAGCCTGGAAGACGCCCGTGTTGAGGCAGCTTCCCTTTGCCTGCCGATACCCTGCAGGACTGGGCACCATGGGCCAAAATGCTGTGTCCAGGGAAGAGGCAAGCAGTGCAACCTATGTTTCACTTGGTGGGCAGGCCGTGTCTTCATGCTGCGGTGGCATCGCCTTTATGGAGTGTAGACATTGGCATTTCTGTACAATTTTATTTGTGTTCTATTTTATTTTACCTTCAAAAGAAAAACACTATCAAAACCAAGGAAGTCCGTGGTGTTCTCCACAAGTGGTTGACATTTGACTGCTTGTTTGAATTATGTATGGAAAGTCATTGACAGTGTGGGTTGTTCCAGGGGTTGGTTGGTTTTTGTTTTTGTTTTTATTTTTGATTCTGAGTCATTGCATCCTCTACCAGCTGTTAATCCATCACTTTGAAGGGGGGAGGAAATATTGCATTGCTGTTTGTAAGCTTTTTTATTATTTTTTTATAATTATTAAAGGCCTGACTTTCTCCTCTCATCACTGTGAGATTACAGATCTATCTGAATGAAATGTAACATTGAAAAGACTTGTTTGTTGGTTTCTGTGCAGTTTCAGTATTGGGGTGGGGGCGGGCTGGGAGGGTTGGGAATTGGAAATGGAGGGGCTGCTGAGATCCTGTGAATGTTTCAGTCATTGTACTTTCTTCCAGAAGCCTGCAGAGAACGGAAGCATCTTCTTTATTGTCCTGGCATGTCCATCTCTATTGTCACTAAGTTGCAACTGGAGTTTCATTTGGATCTAGTAAAAAAAAAAAAAGTTCTTCTGTGCAATAGGTGGGTTCAAGGATGTAGCTGCCCTGGTGTCTTGGTAATATCCTGATAATAACATCCATGCTGAGGAGTCAGACATCATATTACAGGAGTGATGCAGTTCAGGGCACAAGCCTGGCATGTTCCTGGGAAATCAGAGAAGAGGATGGACCCCCGTCCTGCTGTTGACCCTCTGACCTTGAAGAAGTCGGATGTTAAGGTGGGAGCTTTGTTCCCACACAAGACTCCTTGCTTCTCCCTAGTTCCTGTCCTTGGTCAGTCCAGCAGTCCAGCCCTCGTTTCTACATCTCAGAGCCCCTGTGGAGAAGGTGTTAGTAAGAATGAAGCAGGCAGGGGCTGCAGCACCAGTGAGGCGCCCAGTTCTTTCTGAAAACTGTCCCATAAGCAGCAGGGGACCAGGAGAGCGCCACCCCCAGTAGCTCAGCTAAGCCCCTGATTCAAACAGGGCAGCAGGAGGTCTCTGAGGGGCCCTGAGAGGCCAGCCATGCAAGAAGCCTCTGGCTTTTACAGGTGGTTCTCGTGTGCTTCTTCTTTAAAAGGAAAGAAGCTGAGTCTTTTTATATATTAAGAATATATGAAGAAAAAATACAGGACTGACCCTCAGGCATCTTCCCTGACTCCCCAGCAAATCCTAGAAGAGTGGGTCAGGCAGATGGAGCTGTGGTTTGGTAGCCAAGAACTATCGTCTCAGTGGCTGAGACCACCAGGGGGCGCTCGGCCTGCGGCAGGCAGGAGCCCACTTGCCTTTCTACATTGGTCATTTCCCCCGTGTAGGTCTCATCGCACATTGGCTCTTCTAGGAGATAAACTCTCTGTTTCTTAATTGGGGGCAATGAAAAGAGCAGTGCTGGACCTTCTGCTGCCCTGCTAGCCGGTCATGGAGGATAGTGCCAGGCAGGATTCTGGAAACCCAGTGCACTTCAGCTGATCCTGAAAAAAGCACTCTGGACACCAGGAGCGCTAGATTCCCCAGAAACTGTCTTACCTTTTGCCCAAAGAGACATGCTCGGTATTCGGGGCATTCCCTCCCATGAACCCTGATACTTCTGTTACCTCAGGGCCTTGGTACCTGCATACTGCCACAGAGCTGGGGCGGGGGGAGGGACCTATTTTTAAATAAATAACTGTTCAAAGTCGGGGGATTTTTTTAAAAGTAAGAAATAGGAAAGCTATTCTGTATTGCACCTTTTCACAATTTAATACATTTTCTTACATTTTCCTGTGATTTTTGAAATTAAACCATTGTGTGTCTTGTCATGTCCTAGTTGAGCTGCTGGCCAGCAGCTTCCTTCAGGAAGATTTGGAACAAACGTGTCTGTTGCCTTGTCGCCTGCTGGAGTGGGGCCTGGAGGGCTGCTGGGAACTAGTTTCTGTACACACTTGTTTGGCCTTTTCTGTAGTTGATGCTGTAAACTCTATGGCTTTTTGAAAAACAGTTTCATGTTTTTATTTAGTATTGGAAATCCAATACACTTTTTTTAATTCAATCAAACTGTGGTCTGGACAGAGAGTTATTTTCTTTTTTCCTTAGGGAGACAGAACTTGCGGGGGTGGGGAATCCCATCTCCCTGCCTCAAGGGGACTTCATCATTGCCCTCGTCACCATAAAGGCAGGAGTGCTCAGGGGCACACAGGGTGGTGTGGCGGGGGAAGCTAGGTGGTGAGCCAGGTGTCCACCAGCCCCAGAGATGAGCCCTGTTCCCACCCCTGTTGCTCCCCTGCAGGGACTGAGAGCCTGAGGGATTGAAGGTCACACCTGTCAGAAAGAGACAGGTGACCCCAGCAGGAAAGCACAGCCATTCCTAAGTGGTGTGTAGGCCAAGTCCCTGATGTGGCAACGTCTGGAGAAGCAGCTTGGTCTGTGTTGGTGCACAGACTGGCCCCATACTCAGCCTGGGCCTTCCTGACCCCGCCCGCCCGCACCTCACACCAGTGTGTGATGGCAGAGCCGTAGAGCAGGTGTCTGCAAGGAGCCTTGCCTGGCCTGGGCTGCCTCACATGCTGACTATGTTCACTGTGTCTTAGCTTGGGCTGCTGTGACAAAAATACCATAGACTTCGGGGGCTGACACAGCAAACATTTATTTTCTCACCATTCTGGAGGTTTGGAAGTTCAAGATCAAGGAATGGGCAGACGTGGTGTCTGGTGAGGACCCGCTTCCTGGTTCGCGTCTTCTCACTGTGTCTCACCTGGCAGAAGGGTGAGAGAGCTCTCCGGGGTCTCTTTTATTAATATAAGGGCGCTAATCCCATCCTGGGCGCCCACCCTCACAGCCCTATCGCCTTCGTGTGTTGGGGATTAGGATTTCAACATGTGAGTTTGGGGGGATGCACGCGTTCAGTCTGTGGCACCCTGCAAGCTTCCTCGTGGTGTGAGCGTCTGAGCTCAGGTGAGCGCGGCAGCCACAGGCCCTGCCCGGCCTGGGTGTGGAGGAGAGCATGGGCTGGGCACGGAGCCCAGCGTCCCCACCCACTGCCCCTTTGGCCCCGGGACTCCATCCGCCCTGCAGCCGAGTGATCGGCGGGAAACCCAGGTCCCATCACTCCCGTCAGCCGTGGAGCCAGAGCTCCCCGTGCCGGAGCCCGTGCCCGCCTGCCGCAGCCCCCGGTGCAGACGCTGTCGCTTGTGCACCCAGTGTCTGGCTGAGAGGAAGGCAGCCTGGGACACGCTTCTCGGTCTTGTCACACGGAACACCGCTACCACCTTGTTCCAACAGCCAGGGGGGCCGTCCGGGCCCTCCTCTGTGTCCCTAGATGGAGCTCTTGGCACATTGCATAGTGATTTATCTGTCTTCAGTCTACTTGACTGGACTCCATGGGGACAGGATTTCTCACTTCTCTGAAGACCTAAGGCCAGAGGCGGATTCTGATGTGGCAGATGCTTGTCCCCCAGGTGGATAGACAGAAGGCCTGGAGTGTGTGGGAGGCTTCTCACATATGCACCCCCTCCCATTCCCATAGAGGGGTCCTTGTAAGTCCCTAGTGTTACTGGCCCTTTGTTATCCAGCGGTGAACTTGAATGTTAACAAAGATCTGTCTGCCTGGCACAGTCATATAAAATGAAGCTGATGCCACAATGACGGACTGGGTGCTGGAAACTAGGAAAATGATATCCTCCAACTGGTTCTAAGACGAACACTGAACAACACTCTGTATGAAGAAGCAATGCCCTCCTTTCCCAGTCCATCAGCTCCTCCTGAATTTAGCCACCTTCCAGTCAGGGGTGTGGTGCCATCAGGAGAGATGGTAACCATGCTGAAAGTGAGTGTTAATCACTCAGTCGTGTCCAAGTCTTTGCGATCCCATGAACTGTGGCCCACCAGGCTCTTCTGTCCATGGGATTCTCCAGGCAAGAATACTGGAGTGGCTTGCCATGCCCTCCTTCAAGGGATCTTCCTGACCCACAGATCAAACCTGGATCTCCTGCATTGCAGGTGGATTCTTTACCATCTGAGCCACAGGGAAGCCTCAGCCATCAAATTGATGGGGAGAGGACATGGGCAGGGGGTGGACAAGCCGGGCCAGCCCTACCCTCATACAAAGGATCTCAGACAGTTGGTGCCTAACTCTTCACCTTGGGTCTCCACAGGTGAGGGTGGGAAGGGGGAGAGGTGGGAGAGAATAATTCAAGGAAATAGTACTTTCCATTTTTCATAATCTTGTAAAAGTGTGTAATGTTGAAAAATGAAATTGACGACTGCAATTAATTACCCTCCAAGCACAGTGGATGATGTTCATCTCCAGACACTCTCTTACTTGACTGTGGATTAAAGAAATGAAAACATGGGCCTAGACTGAGCTCAAGATGGGAGGTCTTGCTGTGCTGTAGTGAGAATTTGGAATTTCCTGAAATAATCGGGAGAGGGGAAGTAGCAGGCATATCACCAAGAAGATGAGAGAATGAGGGCTGGTGGGAGGATGCCTGCTTCCCTTGAGGCACTCCAAAGAAGGTTAGAAATGAGATCTGAGAGGGAATTCAATGTCCTGTGCTCGTTGCAACTCCGAGACCTGAACCCCATCAACTCTCCACGTCTTCCGTAACATCTTCCATGTGCACAAGGCCTTGCACAAGTTATTGACTTTCCCCCTTCCAAGAAAGGGGCATCTGGGTCACCGTGGTGAGAGATCACAAGTGTGGCATGGTGAATGAGGGTGACCAAAAACAGGATTGGCACAAGCCAGAAGTGACCAAGAGAGTTTAAAACCTGAGAGTTCGTGGAAATCAGGGGACACAGGAGAAGGCACGAGACCTTTCCCAGGTCAAGAAATGAGAATCCCAGCCAGCCTTATCCAGGTTTGAAGAGGCAGACTGACCTCAGGAGGTATCTGGGTTGCCACCACTCTACATTTCCACGCCCTCCACCTCAGTGGCCCGGAGCAAAGCCCTGTCACCCATCATGGTGCACACAGGCGCCTGCCTCTAATTACTGTCCCTACCTTTTGTGGAGGTGGTCTCCCCAAGGAGAATTCTGGGAGCCATTCTAAACTCTTCGCTCAACATGATAGCACGTGGCTCAGCAACCCCTGCAGCTACCATAATGTCCCCAGACTGGCTTCTCTGTCATCCATTGTGCAAACTCCTCATCGACCCATCCGCCCACCTCAGCCTCACGGGCGGTCCAGCCTCCACACAAAGTTTGAATTTTCCAAAAACCCACCCCCCCCCCCCAACCAAAAAGAAGCAAGGGCCCCCCCGGCAACCGCCCTGCAAAATAGGATCCGATGTGACCCTGCTGCCTCTTGGCTTTTGTTTGCCACTTAGCCTGCCCTTTGACCCAAATTTGGCCCTAGCAATACAGAGCAATTTGCACTTACAGAATAAACTTTGACGTCTGACCTCTGTACTGGTCCCTTTGCCTCAAATTGTCTCCCTGACCCCTACCTACCCTCACTGCTGGCTTCCTCTGCCTCATAAATTTCAATTTATTTTTAAACACCCAGCCTAACCATTCAGTCCCCTGGTGGTTCTTGTTCTTGATCTCTGTCTCTTCCAATACACTGGGAACTCCTTCAGGAAAACAGTCAGGCCTGTGTTTGTATTCTCCCTTCCATTGCCTAGCATATTAGAGGTGTTCACTTGATGAACTTGCCTGGTGAAGAAGATGGACTTGCAGTCACTGTGGGCCAGTGCTGGGGTAATTTGACAAAATCCTAATTATGCTTGAGAGGATATATTCAGAAAGGTTTCGCAGCAGAGGTAAGGCTGAGCTGAGTTTAGGAATTAATGAGGCTTTCTGTCTGGAGGGAGGAGGAGGCCCACGCAGAGCTGGGAATCTAACCTGCTCCACATGGCCATGAGACACCTTCAGGATCCAGCCATCCTGCCCGGCGCTGGGACTTCTGGGACCGCGTGGGCCTCCTGTCACTAGAGAACGTGCTGGGACCCCCAGGGTATGGAGAACACACAGCTAGTGCTCCGCTTCCCCAAATCCCTGAACACTGCAAGGGTAATGCTGGCCTGGTTGAGCTAGGTTTGGTGGGGTCAATCCTAGTGAGTTAAGAATAAGGTGAGTTTTTTCCATAAACTCAAATCCCAGGTCTTACAGAGAATTCTGGGCAGCTTCCTATAAGAGGACACAAAGAGCTGGGATCTGTTCTTGAAGGCCAAATGATGGATCACGCTCAAGAAAACCAGCTGATGAACATTCCAGACCAACACACAGGAGGGAAACTGGAACTGAAAGCAAAGAGATCTCAGTGTGGGTAGGTAGTGTGAGAAAAGGAGTATTATGGGCCAGTCAGAAAAGTCTTCCTCCCTGGAGAAGCTGGGAATCATTCGTGGTTTCACGAGTGTTCCCTAGTGAAACCACTAGGTGGCTTTTTGCAGGGCTCTGAAGAGCTCCAGTCCTTTCTGTCTCTCAGCACAGAAAGAATTCAGTGAGAGGCAAAGTGATAGATAAGAAGTGATTTATTAGAACAGGATCCTTGCAAGGCTTACAAGTGGGCGGGCAAGCATTATGGGCTACAGTTTTGTAATCAAAGAAAAAGTGGGGAGATGGAAAAGACCATCTTCTTCCTTATTCTCGAGCAGACGCCTTGCTTCCATCATCATCTCCTCCTCCTCCAGGTCGGGCAGGGGAGTTTTCTTGTTCCTAAACGGTCAAGCAAGAACTGTCATGGCACTACAGGAAAATTATTTCAGGTCTTAGTACAATGAGGGTCTTTCACTTTGAAATGTCCCTCTCCCATAAATTATTGTTTTTTATGTGTGCGGAGAGCATGTCCTAGGGGCCATTAACTTACTGAGCTCTCTGGGATGGATGTGGGTCTCAGCCACCATTGTTTTATTGAGTGGGGGCATGTCTCAGGGTTCTGTGGTGTTGTTTTGCTGCTAAGCAGGCCTGCTTGGTTTTGTGGGCAAGCAAATCTGTTTTCTTGAGTGATCATTAACTTACAGGGGTCTCCCAAATCCCCCTAAAATTCCCTATCCACAATCCTAATGGGATTTCTGAGCTATTTGGTTCCTGCTCTGTCCCTATTACAAGGACCGACT